TATGCCTATTAAGACATATGGCAACAGATAAAGCTGGCTAGCTTGTGACCTCCTAGATTGTCAATATGAAGAAGGCTTTAATCTTGAGTAGAATAACTGCATATTATGCTTCTGTGCTGAAATTATTTTCCTTTTTTTTTTCCTTTGAAATTAAAAAGTTTACTCTTCTCTCTGCCGATATAACCTGTGTTAGTCTTCAACAGCTCAACTCCTCTTCTTTATCTAAAATTATTTCTTCTGGTTTGATACTAGGCATGAATGCTACAAATACTGACTTGGTATATAGGTCCCCAACAGGTCTACAATAGATCCTTTAAATAAAATACTTTGCAAGTCTCCCTGTTTCTAGAAGGTAACATAGCATAATATTTTAGAGCACAAGCCAAAACATAGCCTAAAAAGAAAAAATTCTTTGCCATCGAGTAGATTCCAACTCATAGTGACCCTATAGGACAGAGCAAAACTGCCCTATAGGGTTTCCAGGGAGTGGCTGGTGGATTTGAACTACTGACCTTTTTGGTTAGCAGCCAAATGCTTAAACACTGTGCCACCAGGGCCCCAAAGCTGTCTATGTACGTTCAAAACCAATAGTGGTTGCTTATTAGAGTTGTGAGCTTGTATCTATTACTCAACCACTCAACGTTTTACTTTCCTCATCTGAAAATGGAGAAAGTTATACCTGTTTAGTGAGAGAAACTGAGCATATAATAGTTCATATATGTACAAACATAACACGCCCTCTGAATAAAATCTTAGTAATTGCTATTTGTTTTGTTCTGTGTTTTTCGTAGAAGTTAACATTACAAGGTTCTGATAGTATAGTAAAGATTTGTCTTACAAATACCTAAATAATTGGGCAAATGCAATATCTTATGTTTAAGTAATTCTCCTTGGCTTATTAAGTTATTTCATACCCATTTTTCTAGTAATTTATGAAAAATAATCTTGTGAGGTACACAAAGCAGTTTTCCATGATGATCACAGAGGTTAGGGGACTCATCATTACTGTGAAACTCATCTTGGCTCTCCCTGGAAATTTCTGTTTTGTGCCTGTTCTCACAGTGTAATTATTATCAGTGCTCTGTTTCACTCGCAAAAGTCTCCAGTTCAGATTTTACATTATATAGTCAACCTACTTAAAACTATTGAGAATTATCTTGTTGATTTATTCTACATCAGAATAATTTTCTGTTTACTCACCAAAACATTCAAATTACACAAAATCTTGGATTGTGCCTAATCCATCACTGTATCCTCAGTTCTTAGAATAGTAGTGCCATTAAATGTTCAAAATAATTTTGTTGAATGAATAAGTGGTTTCTATGAACCTCAAAATAGCTTGGGTCTAAAAAAAAAAGCATTTGTGCCATTTCAATTAGATAATAGATTTCCTTTTTCTCATCAATAATTTGTCTCATTAATTTTGTCATTTCAGGTAACTTTCTGGAGCCATCCCTAATTTCATCAAACCATGGAAAATAGAAGTAATGTTACTTTATTTCTTCTCCTGGGACTTTTCTCAGAATAAGAAAGTCCGAATGCTCTGCTTTTTATTTTTCTTACTATGTTACCTCACGATATGGTTGGGAAATTTGGTTATTATGATTTCCATCACATTCAGCCAGCTAATTAACCAGCCTGTGTACTTCCTCCTTAGTTACCTTGCTCTCTCAGACCTTTTCTATACCTCCACTGTGACACTCAAACTAATGACCGACTTACTGACAGAAATGAGGATCATTTCCTATAAAAACTGCATGACACAACTTTTTACCACACACTTCTTTGGAGGTATTGAGGTTTTCATCCTCACTGGGATGGCCTATGACTGGTACGTTGCCATCTGCAAACCACTACACTATGCCATCATCATGAACACGCAAAGATGTAACTCAATTCTCATAGCATCATGTGCTGGGGGACTTCTGCATTCCCTTGGTCTATTTCTTCTTACAATTTTTTTTACCTTTCTGTGGCCCCAGTGAAATAGATCACTATTTCTGTGTTGTCTATCCTTTGTTGAAACTGGCCTGCACTGATACAGACAAAATTGGTTTCTTACTCATTGCCAATTCTGGTCTGATGGGAATGGTGATCTTCGTTGCATTGATGGCCTCCTACGTTATGATAATGTATAATTTGAGAGCACACTCTGCAGAGAGCTGCCACAAAGCACTTTCCACTTGCAGTTCCCACATCACTGTTGTGATTCTGTTTTTTGCATCTGTCATCTTAATTTATATTAGACCAGCAACAACTTTACCAGAAGACAAAATGTTTACGCTATTTTACACAATTATTGTCCCCATGCTCAACCCTCTTATCTACACACTTAGAAACATGGAGATGAAAAATGCCATGAAGGAAGAGTGGTGCAATCGAATGTTTATGGAAAGGAAGCAAATGATTTGAAGGGCATTTGCAGGGAAAAATGAAATGCAAATGAATATCATCTCATGACAACTCCAGACCATGTAGAAGCCAGGCTTTGAAATATAGCCGGCCATCAGTAGAGTACCTCTTTCAGTTCCTTTCCTGACTTGCTTCCCTTGTTTTAATTCTTCACTAGATTTTAAGTTTCATCAGGTTAGGGGTCATGTTATGTTTATTTCACTGCTCTTTTCTTAATAACAAGCAAACTTTATACCATATATTAAAAACTCAATAAATATTTATTGAATTAATGTGTGAATATCTTATTGCATAACCCTGGTTCTCATACACTATTGGAATCAATCTCATGTTTTAGTGACCCATTTGGACATTAAACATCACCCTTTTGTTGATATTTATTCCTCTTCACGTCTTTTTCTACGTCAATATATGTTGGCTTCCCACAGCTCTGACTGTGGACAAGAAGGACTTCTACCGGGGTCCAACTGGACAATGGCCAAATCAACCATCCCAGATACCAAAGAATCAGGAAACATAAGTAATGGCTCAATGCTTTTGGAGTGCTTTAGGTTTATTTACATATTATTTTCCCAATTTTACAACAGAATCTGCATATATGATAAACCTGTTATTCATAAGATCTGTTCTTACAAGAAAAACAGCCAACTTATATTAGAAAGAGTCAAATCACACACACACACACCCTCCAAATTAAAAGGTCTTACTAAAACTCCTTTTTTTTTTTCCTAATAGATCTTTTGGTGATGTTGAAAAAGGCTGGGTGGAAAATTACATTGACTGTATATACCTCTTTATACATTTAAAAATCTATTTTAAACCTTCTATCTCAAACCACTTTATTACATTACCATAAAATTAATCTCTACCTAATTTTATAGGAAACAAAGATAGTACAAAATATTGAATAGTCAGCAAAAAAAAGGAATTCAAATCTCCCAAATCATAGGCCAATGAATCCCCTGTCCCCCAGGATATCTCTATATAACCCCATGACCTGGCAGTATGTATACATTTTATAAATATGTCTCCTTGTTAGTTTGGATGATTTTTTCAATATAGATATAGTAAAGTCACATCATATATACTTAAGATGGGAATTGAATGTGGTTTAAATTACCCAAGGTCACAAATACTCCTCCATGCATCTGTCACTTTGTCATACTGTGGGGGCTTGCATATTGCTGTAATGCTGGAAGCTACTCCACCAGTATTCAAACACCAACAGGGTTACCCATGGTGGACAGGTTTCAGCTGAGCTTCCAGACTAAGGCAGACTAGGAAGAAGGGTCTGGTGGTCTACTTCTTAAAAAATTAGCCAGTGAAAACATTATGAATAGCAGGGGAACATTGTCTGATATAGTGCTGGAAGATGAGCCCCTCAGGTTGGAAGGCACCTAAAAAACTGAATGCAGAAAATATCCAACAATATCATTAACATCCCATGCAAATAAAATTTTGCTGAAGATCATTTAAAAGCGATTGGAGCAGTGTACAACAGAGAACTGCCAGAAGTTAAAGCCGGATTCAGAAGAGGACTTGGAACCAGGGATATCATTGCTGATGTCAGATGGATCCTGGCTGAAAGCAGAGAATACCAGAAAGATATTTACCTGTGTTTTATTGATTATGAGAAGGAATTCAACTGTATGGATCATAACACATTATGGATAACACTTCGAAGAATAAGAATATCAGAACACTTAATTGTGCTCATGAGGAACCTGTACATAGATCAAGAGGCAGTCATCGAACAGAACAAGGGGCTACTATAAGGTTTAAAGTCAGGAAAGGTGTGTGTCAAGGTTGTATCCTTTCACCATACTTATTCAATCTGTATGCTGAGCAAATAATCTGAAAAGCTGGACTATATGAAGAAGAACATGAGACCAGGATTGGAGGAAGACTCATTAACAACCTGCGATATGCAGATGACACAACCTTGCTTGCTGAAAGTGAAGAGGATTTGAAGCACTTACTGATGAAGATCTAAGACTAGAGACTTCAGTATGGATTACACCTCAACATAAAGAAAACAAAACTCCTCACAACTGGACCAATAAGCAACATCATGATAAACAGAGAAAAGATTGAAGTTGTCAAGGATTTCTTTTTACTTGGATCCACAATCAACACCCATGGAAGCAGCAATCAAGAAATCAAATGATGCATCCCACTGGGGAAATCTGCTGCAAAAGACCTCTTTAAAGTGTTAAAAAGCAAAGATGTCACTTTAAAGTGGCTGGTGGCTTTGAACAACCGACATTTTGGTTAGCAGCCAATCACTTAACCACTGTGCCAATAGGCCATATGGCCCTTTAAATCTGGGATGATAGATGCCAATGGAGTTTCCATAAATTTTGAGATTATCCATGGAACAAAACATAGAGAAATTAGAAATGTGGGCACTGATTAGCAACCTTTGAACAAAACACAAAGAAAAAAATATCAACTAAAAGTAGTTGAACAAGGAAATAATGACTCAAAGTACCAGGGGACAATGTCGATAAAAAATATAGGTCAATAAAGAAAGAACGAAGTAGTTCAAAGTAAATTATAATATTAATGAACTGATGTCAGTGGCTATGCTTATGTTTCTCATAGTCAGTTTCTGCTTTAATAAACTTACGGTAGGGCAAACTCACTTGAATAGGGTGTGTAATGAGGAGTAGATATGCCTTTCAGAATAACTGCCTTCCAATCGAAAATGGATTCTGGCACCACACTTTCCTCATGGCATTCTTCATCTCCATGTTTCTCAAAGTGTAGATCAGAGGGTTGAACATGGGGGCAATGATGGTGTAGAAAAGAGCAAACACTTTATCTTCTGGAAAAGTGATGGCTGGTCTAATATAAATATACAGGATAGGCACAAAGAATAGAACCACAACTGTTATGTGGGAACTGCAAGTGGAAAGAGCTTTGCTGCGGCTTTCAGCAGGGTAAACCCTGATAGTGTATAATATGAAGAAGTAAGACAGCATCAAGACAACAAAATTCACCAAACCTGTCATGCCTGAATTGGCAACAACCAGGATCCCTATGCTGTATGTGTCAGTGCAGGCCAGTTTCAGCAAAGGATAAATATCACAGAAGTAGTGATCTATCTCACTGGGGCCACAGAAGGGTAGGTTGATAGTGAGGAGACACTGGACAAAGGAATGCAGAAATGCCCCAATACAGCAAGCAAAGATCAATATATAACGTTTCCTCCTGCTCATGATGACCATGTAGTGTAGGGGCTTGCAGATAGCCACGTAGCGGTCATAGGCCATCACTGTGAGGATGAAGATTTCAATCCCCCCAAAGAAGTGTGTAGCAAAAAGCTGTGCCATGCAGCTAGCATAAGAAATCCTGTTCATTTCTTTCAGTAAGTCGGTGAGTAGCTTGGGTGTCACCGTTGAGGTATAACACAGGTCTGAGAAAGCAAGGTAATTAAGAAAGAAATACATAGGTTGGCCTATTAACTGACTGCATGTGATGGAAATGATTATGAGCAAGTTTCCCATCCAAATAGCTATATAACAAAATAAGAATAGCAGAAAGTACAAAGTTTTAATCTTCTTGTTCTGGGAAAGTCCCAAAAGTATAAATTCAGTGACGTTATTGACGTTTTCCATGGTCTGATGCAGTGAATTCTCAGAAGGTGTAACTGGAAAAAAAGTGACAAGTTAGCATTAGAAATATTGACTAAGCATGGTATGAATCAGAGTGAGTATAGTAGTAACAAATTAAGTTATTCAATCAGCTATCCTATATTTAAAGTCATTAATTCTAAACCTTGTACTGGTAGGTTTACCATGGAACTTACCATTCTAATTAGGTTACTTTTGAGAGTGAAATGGAGTGATAGTAATAGTTATAATAGCTCATAGTATAAATTAAGATTTATATTCACTCTACGTATGGGATGCAAAAGTGAGCTTACAGAGGATGCATTACTTGTCCTGGAATAGCTTGTCCTCTTGATAGGTTGTAAAAGGACCAGGATGAAGTATGCTAATGTAGGTTCAAATCCTGTCTTTATTTAAAATTTTTATATTCCATTTGTCGTGAATTTTTGCATCATTAAAAAATATATTTCATACACCCTTTTAGCTCACTAATGAAGTCATACCTGAGACTCACCCTTTAGCCAAAGGTTAGACAGTCCCACAAAAGAAAACAAAACTAAAGGGGCACACTAGCCCAGGCGCAAGTACTAGAAAGCAAGAGGGGATAGGAAAGCTGGTAACAGGGAACTTCAGGTTGAGAAGGGATGGTGTTTACATGGAGTTGGCAACCAATGTCATAAAACAATATGTGTACTAACTGTTCAATGAGTAGCTAGTTTGTTCTGTAACCCTTCATCTAAAGTGCAATAATAAAAAATGTATATTCCATTAAAATATTATTTATCTTGATTATTGAGTTGTTTACATCCAGGATAAGTATCACATCTGACTCATGGTAACCCTCACCCTGTGTTAAAAGCATAATATACATTAACAACATTATGGAGAGCAATAAAAAAATATGATTGCATTTGAAGCCTAAGTGACTGTGATAGTTCTTCTATTCTTGGAATTATTCTAGGAACTTTTATGTTAGTTCTTCCTGCAACCTATGTTTTCTCACCCAAAATGTCAAAGCAGAGATGAATTTTTCCCAACAGCTTCCAGGTTGTCTCCTGTTACTAGTACTAATTCTCTCCTGAAGCAAGCCCTTCTTTTTTCAGTACAATTCACCTATTCTCTCCCCTACTCATTAAATGTGGTCCACACTGGTGCACAGGAGACTCTGATATTAAGACATCTAAACCCATAACATTTCACACTCTTAATTACCCACTGTATGCTTCTCACACAAAGAGTAGCAAAGGAGAAAGGGAGTGATGAATCTCCACTTTAGTGTATCTCTTAATTTCTTTGACTTGTGTCTTTTTCTTTATAGTTATCTTTTCTCCTTTATCTAAAATGCAAGTCATTCACTTCATTCATATATCACTTCCTTCGATATCTCCTCTGATAAGCCCCGTATATAACAGTGAATACCATCATTATTTCCTTCATGAATTTCCCAATATTATACTTAAAAAAATTTGCTTTATTTTGACATTTGCCCAGGGATAGGACTGGAATCATTCAATGAATTTTACTTAAATGATGGGAAGTTATTTTTTAAATGCTTGCAAAAGCTTGTACAAAAGAGGGCAAATGCACATTGCAAAAGGATTAAAATCAACATATGCATGGATAAAAAATGTAATTTATATTATCTAGATATATTTATATGTATGTATAGATATGCAAACTTAATTTCTTCTGTTTGATGCAATGTTTATTTCCTATAGCTTAGTTTATTTTCACTTACCAGGTGATTAGCTCATAAATGAATTCTTTTAGCTCTGGGTCAAAGGTAGTGTTCAGAGCTTACAAAGCAGTCAGAATAAATGTTTGTTTACCATCCATGCTATACACACTAAACATTAATAAATTTCACCATCCAATCAGCATTGGTTGGTCCTGGGTGTAGTACTTCACTGTATTCCCTGAAGAGAGGATATTCTCTTCAGATTTCTGTAACTAATAGAAAATAAATGTCGTCACCAACATTTATGTTGAAAATGTTTTTTTTTTCCTATCCAAAAGTTGTATCCACTGTAGTCTCAGGGGTGGAAATTACAAATAAGTTTGATGTTTGATTCTCCATGGAATTTAAAGTGAATTAACTGAGATATAATTATCCCATTCCTCATTCTCACTTTTTTCATGGGAAGAGAGATCTCACAAAAGAAATGTTAGCCAAATGTGCCGCTGAAATTGGTTTCATGCTTCTCAAGTTCTGAACACACAGGTATGTCAAGGTAAATAATTCTTTATACCCTGTGGATTTTGATCACAAACTAATGGTCCATATTCATTCAGTGTTGATAGGCCATAAAGCAAGTGTTTTATGTTGTAACTAATTCTGAGGAACCAGTTGGTAGTAAGGTCTGAGCAGAGACAGAATGGAAAATGTCAAAGAAATGTTAGGGTAGGGAAAATGGATCCAGGTTTTGAATTTTGGTTTGTCCCACAAGTTGTTTGAAAAGTGGGTGGAATACTTCCTGTGTATTATTTCAAGTACAAATGGCCCCACATCTTCCTCCAGGCCTTGCAGAGGCAACCAGTTCCACATAGGTAAAAACTCACAGCCCTTCTACTTGCTCATCCCTGATCAAGAAACTCCTGCTGATGTCCTTGGGCTTGTCTGACAGTAGCTTGGGATGCTGCAGACACCCACAGGACATCTGCAGAAGTGCAATCTGGAAGTATGTGGAATTTAGAGCCTGCTGAGCCACACTTGACCTGAAAGGACAATGGGATCTGATAAATAAATGTGTCCCCTCTTTGTCCTCAGGCAGACATTCTGAGATGAGTTTCATAACGTTCCTGAAAGAACTCTCAGAAGAGATGTCAGTCATCAAGAGCATGGCCAACAATATGATTCATCTTCATATTGGCTCTCTTACTTTCCCTGCTTTATTCTTCCTGTCCCACATTCCTACCACCTGGGATTATTTCCCATATAATCCACTTTTATGAAAGCATTGTCTCAGGTTCTGACTGCAGGGAAATAAAGACTACTACTAAAGGAATTCCTGTTACTTCAGCCCACTCAAATTTTATTTAGGATTGACAGAGTTGGTTTTCTTTTTCTCCTAGATGTCTTCTGTGTCTTGGAGTAAGTGTTAGCAAATCATCTCTTCCTCTTACTCCCTTAGAGTATCTGACAGAGGTCACATGGATCCCTCATTTTCTCTCATTTTAGATGCCCTCTTGAGGCAGACAGCCTCAGAGCCCAAGCTTTATTAGACACTTGCTCTGGCTTATCCTCCTACACCTAGCAGAATGGGCTGCACATTCTTCTGAAATTGTCCTTGACAAAATAACCACAGAATGAGCCATAGATGGCCTCAATCCACCTCTATGTGGAGACTTAACATGCTAATGAAGGAAAATTGACCTCTTCCTCCATCCCAGAGAATCAAACCCTTGTCTAAAGAAAATGCCTAGTCATCCCCAAGCTCTGAGCATCTGCATGAAGGTCAATCCTGAATATTCATGATGAATTTGCATTTCTTTGTCTGCTGTCTGTAAAAGCCCACATCCCCAAGCTGCCTGCAAGCAGTCTAGGAGGCAGCAGCCCTGATTGCTCCTTTCCTAGCACAATGAAATAAAGGCAGCTTTCTTCTCCCACCTTGGCCTCTTGTTCATTGGCTGTAACAAGAAATGCCAAGCAGAACCTGGGGTTTACACCTGGCAACATTTCTTGTGAGCTAGCCAGAAGTCATTGCTAGGTTCCTGAGATGGGCTGTGCAGGGGACTCTGCTTGACGTTCTGGTGCCACCCAGAGAGTTCTCAAGATCTCAGGGAAGTCCTAAAGTCCGACCCACTTTGGACCCAACAGTGATTCCTTGGGAGGCGTGAAATGCACCTGGAGTTATTTGGTAAGTTCTAGGTAAGGCCTTAGAAGAGTCCCAAGAATCAGAAGTATTGACCACTGAGGGTGTAAAAGGCCCTAGGTATCTGAAGTTATTTGGTAAGCACCTAGGTAAGGTCTTAGAAGAGTCCCAGGAAGTGGAAGTATTGACCGCTGAGGGCGTAAAAGACTCTAGGTGCTTTTGGTTCACCGAATTAGATTGTGTGAGTGTGTAAGTGTGTGTGTGTGTCTGGAAAATGAGGAATGTTCAAGAGATCCTGGAATGCAGCCCACTAAGATGCATCTTTAAGAACTGGGAATATTTCGGGTCAGATCTTATGAAAAAGAAAAAGGTGATTTTCTTTTGTAACACTGTATGGCCTCAATATGAATTGGCAGATGAGGAAAAGTAGCCAGCAAATTGGTCTCTAAATTATACTATCCTCCAACTTGACCTTTTCTGTAATCACAAGGGTAAATGAGATGAATAGAATTATGTGAAAGCTTTCATGACTCTGTATCAGAACAAAGAGTTACAGAAAAAAAAAGTGAAATCTTAGTTCAGAAAGGGACTCATAAATCACAAATGCCAGTCCTCCCTCCTGACCCTGAGGGCGATCTTTTAGCTCCCACCGCCTTGGCACCCCTGCCATCCTCTCCCTATGCCCTGCCTCCACCCAACAGAACTGCCACACCAGTGACAGCCCCTCTGTTAAGCCCCCTCAACCTTTGTATCCACCCCTCCTGGTCCTTCTGTCCTGCTGGAGGGCTCGCTGACCCCACACACGGAATAGAATGACTTTTGGATGCCCTGATTCAGCTGTTAGGGAAAGTGAAAATAACTAAGCGAGACCAGTTCTTGAGAGAGCCATAGTATCTTAGGACTATGGTCACGGGTTCACTCATCTGGATCCTAAGAGCCCTAAAAATGCCCAAATGTTCAATGTAATTTTTATAGGGCAGAGTACCTCCAATATTAAAAGAAAGCTTCAGACATGGAAGAAGGTATAGGATTAAAAATCTCTTGGCTAGTGGAACTGGCCTGCCAAGTTTACTCTAACCTAGATAAGGAACAAGAAAGTTGCAGACCAAAATCACCAGGCAGTCTTCCTAGCTGCGGCCTTGCACGCTGAAGGGCCATCCCCCAAGAGTACAAAGGAAAGGAGGGAGACCAAGGCTGCAGGAGTGGAGAAGGACCCACACTCCTTTGCAAAAAGACCAGTGCAGCTAGTGTA